CCTGGGGCTGGGCCGGGCCGGCCGCGGCTCTCCCCGCCCCATGGGGGGTTTGTCCCCGCCGCCCCCGGGCTGGGCGCGGGGCCGCTGTCAGGCATCGTTCGTGCCCGTAGCGGAGGCCGCAGCAGCCGGAATGTGAACAACGGAGTGAGGCTGGGAGACCTGCGGATTTTCAGCCTAGGGAAGAGAAGGCTCCGAGCAGAGCTTAGAACCCTTTCACAGTGCCTAAGGGGCTGCAAGGGGAGCTGGACTCTTGCCTTTGGACAAGGACCTGGAGTGACAGGATAAGGAGGAACGGTTTCCTTCTATCAGAGGACAGGGTTAGATGGGATACTGGGGAGAAATCCTTCCCTGTGAGGGTAGGGAGGCCCTGGCACAGGCTGCCCAGAGAAGCTGTGGCTGCCCCTGGATCCCTGGCAGTGCCCAAGGCCAGGCTGGACATTGGGGCTTGGAGCAACCTGGGACAGTGGGAGGTGTCCCTGCCCATGGCAGGGGGTGGCACTGGATGAGCTTTAAGGTCCTTTCCACCCCAGACTATTCCTTGATATGATGGCTTTGTAAAGAGCCCCAAAAGCTGTTCCAGCTGTCCCATCTCCCTCTGAAGAGGGGGAATGGCTGGGAAGTGGTGTCCGCCCCATTTAGGATCTGGGAGCTGTCAGCACACCGAGGTCAGTGTCTGCTCAGCTCCAGGTGCTGATTCCAGTGGACTTTTGGCCTCTGTCAAGCCAAGGAGGCCAGGCCATGGTGTCCTTCCAAGGATCCCTTGTTGGTAGTGCTGGCAAAGGCACCGTGATTACCCTGCTCTGTGGAGGAAGCCCTTGGAGGAAGTGAAGCTAACCCGAGGCACTGGGCCCCAGGGCGGTGCTGACACCCAGGAATGTGCTGTTGCTGTTGAGCTGGTTCGGCAGCGTGTTTGGTGTTTGTCTTCTTGGCCCTGCTTTCACAACAACGCCCAGAGAAAGTCAGGATGACAGTGGGGACAACGCGTGGCAGCCAGCTCCTCTTCTGCTGGGACATCTCCTGGAGCGGGCTCCCTGGGTTTTGCCCACCTGAGTGCTCTGCTGCCAGCTGTGCCTCAGTTTCCCTGTTTCCTCCTCCTATGAGGAGCAGAGTGTTCACGCCCCATAGTCTGTGGGTGTTACGGGGTGGGTCTGTGGGGTGAAAAGGAGGTTGGAATGTTGGCTCTGGGCAAGGTGCATCTCTCTGGGTGATAAACCTTGTCCCTCGGCACTGTGGGAATGGTGTGACCTCTCCTTCCCGTGGTGCTGCACTCTGTCCTGGCCCACACGTCACATTTAGGGGACACCTGTTCTGGCTGTCATTCCCTGAGGTGGGTGTCCTTATCTGTGCAGCAGGCAGCAGCAACTCTGGATGAAGGTCGTGGTGCTGGAGGCTGCTCCCAAGGGTGCTGACAGTGTGGTGGCTGCAGTCACTAGGGACTGAGCCTCCTGCAGAACCCCACAGATGTGCTGGGGCCCAGTCCTGCCCTGCTCCAGGGCTTTATTGGCTCACTGTCTGTCCAGGAGCGGATGAAGGGGAATACATGACCTGCTACTGTGGCTGGCAGAGTTGGGATTGCCCTACTGGGACGGGAAGCAGAGGAAGGACAGGCAGGGTATCCCAGCATCCATGGTCTGAGGGCAGTGCAAAGGGCTGAGCTGTGGGGATGTCACCCACAGTATGGATGCAGAGGAGCTCTTTTCTGGCATAGGGCATCCCGTCACTTCCCTGCCTGGAGTGCCCCCACCCTCCCGCCTGGGCCATATGAAATGCAGCCGGTCCTCGCTCCCTGCCCGCTGCCAAGCAGCCATCAGCTGGGAACAGCTTCCAGTCTGTGCTGGCGAGGTTCCAGCAGGCTCACAGCCAGCTCCTGTATCCAGCAGCCGCACTCCCGAGCTTCCCACGCCTCGTGGAGCCCCGGCTGGAGGCCAGCACTGCCTCCATCCCCATGCCGGGCTGGGGAGCTGCCGGCCATGCCTGGCCGCGCTGGGGAGGGTGGGGAGCCAAGCAAAGCAGACCCTTTGGGAGCAGATTTGCTCTCAGAACAATCGCGCTCACCCCGTCCGACCCACTGTGCTGGGTGGGACTCGGCAGGGAAGGGCTGGGCAGGGCGCAGGGCAGCGCTGCCAGCTGGATGTGGCCCTGGACTCGCCGTGCCGCTCACTTTCCCGCTCGGAATGTGGAGAGAGGAGGCAGGGCCTGCAAGTCCTATAGTGGGGCTGGGTGCTGGAGGATGCTCAGCACCAGGCCACTGTCCTCGGGTTCTCAGGAAGGATCTGACTTTTCCTGAGATTGGCATGGCCACAGGACAGTGTGGAGCAGAGCCTGGGAAGGCATTGAGACTTCACTGATGGCTTGAAGGAGCATCTGCTCTCCTTGGATGTCCCTGCCTGGGCCTGCCCGAGCTGCCCGTCACCCATCTCTGCACAGATGCGGTGCCATGGGGGGTTGGAGGCCTTAGTGCCAGCTTCAGCATTGCAGCAGCTTCCCCCCTGCCTCAGCAGGGTTAAATCAGATTCCCTGGCTAGGCTGAGGCGTTTCTGGAAAACACTCCCCTCTCTCCTAAGGGACCCTGGTCTGGGCTTGGCGCCGGGCCTGGAGCAGTGCCAGGCATTGGGAGCGCAGTGTGGCTGGAGCTGTGTGGATGACACGATGCTTATGGCCCCGGCTCTCTCCGTGTGCAGCTGGCCCCTGCTACAGGGATCAGGTCTTGCTCATCCCTCACCTTCCTGGCGTGTCCCTGGGGATGCTGCGGCGCATGGTGTGTGCAGTGCAGGCTGCTCCTGAGAGGTTTGAGCTGCTGTGCTGGCACAGTGACTTCAGTCACGGGTGGCAAGCACTTCCGGCAGCTGCCGAAGCGCCAGCGCTGCCAAGTGTGTCCTGAGCCCTGCGCCCTGAGGGGTGCAGCCACCTGGGCATGGGGGGCACCCAGGGTGCTCGGGAAGCCAGGGGGCTCAGCACCGTATGGAGGGCCGGGCACCCACTGACCGGCCTCTTCCTCCCGGTCCCACAGGCTGGAGGAGGTGCCCTTGGAGGTGCTTCGGCAGCGGGAGTCCAAGTGGCTGGATATGCTCAACAACTGGGACAAGTGGATGGCCAAGAAACACAAGAAGGTAAGTGACAGCCGTGTCCCCTGTGGGAGGTGGCAGCGAGGGACAGCCAGGCACAGCGGTGTCCCCTTGGGGCAGCTTGGTGTCACTGGTTCCCTGCAGACAGGCGTCTGTGTGCCTTTGGATGATGCTGTTGGCTTGAATGGGCTGTTCATTCCCCTTGGAAACTGGATATGGAGTGGTCCCGAGCCAGCCCACTTCTGCCTCCAACTCTTCCCTGCCGGGCTGGAGCTTTCCTAGGGCTTCTTTGGCTGCCTGCAGGCAGCCATGGGAATTGTTTGCTCATGGAAACTTCTGTTCTGAGCATCTTGCAGACCAAAAAAAGCTCCGTGTAGGAAATGTTTGAGCCTGATGCGCGTGACACTGGTCTGTGGACTGGGATCCCTGGGAGACTCCTGGTGTGCTGGCTCCATGGCTTGGTTTGCTGGTGCTCCCTGATCCCCTGAGCCTGCAAATGAGGTGGCAGTTGGGATGCAGCAAGTCCAGGGTTGCTGCTGTGTGTCTGCTGGGAGCAGTGAGGCTGCTGGCATGGGACAGCAGTGCCAGAAGGTGGCCAAAGGGCCTTCTCCTCCTCATGCTGGTAGAGTCTCCTGGCACCCCTCAGTGTGCCTGGAGTGCTGTCCCTACTCAGTGCCTGGTGAACTACACCGGAATCCCTCATCTGTTTCTTGGCTGCTCTTAAAGGATTTGGGAGAGTTTTCTGGGCCACGGCAGGCGGGTGCTTTGTTCCACGGGCAATTTCCGCCACTCTCCGGCCGTGTGCCACAGGGTGCCCTTCGGGATGGGGTGAGTGCTCCAGCAGCCCTGTGCCTGGCACAGCAGCTCCCTTGTGCTTGAACCGAGCCTCTGGGAGTCTCTGTGGGGCTGATGTGCCGTATAGTCTGTCCTGCAGCAAAAATCCATGCCTGGAGCTTTGGAGAGGCTGCTCCAGAATGCTGCTCTGTGCCTGGATCCCTGGGGCTGCTCAGGGAAGGCTGCCAGGCCTGGCCTTGGATGCTGTCAACTATCTTTGGTCTGGCAAGAGCCTGCTTGGTGCAGGTCCCTGCTGCTCTGGGGGAGCTCCCTAAGCCTCTGAAAAACCCCAGTACTTTTCTGGCTGCCTCACCAGGGTTGGCAGGCAGCCCAGGGATCCCTGGGCCAGCTCCTGATGGGCTTGCTCACACCTGCACTGCTCCAGCATCCCAAAATGCTCCTTGCCTGGCCCCAATCCCAGTGGAGCCTGACCCCACATCCTTCACAGTGCTGAGCTGTGCCAACACTGTGTGCTAGGAAGGCACACCTGTGGGTGGGCAGCACTCCCACCTCACCTCACTTTCAGCATCCCTCAGCCCAGACACACTCCCTGTCCCTGGAAAATCACAGTGGGATTGGGGGGTTGATGGCAAGACCCCATGTGGGACCAAGGGGATGAGCTGCTCAGCCATGGTGGTGCTGGCCTGGCCAGCTGAAGGGGCTGCTGAACCAAAACCCAGTGAGGTGGTTTCCTTCCTGGCAGCTCAGTCAGCAGGAAGGGGAGCTGCCTGGAAATGGGAGCTGTCAGCAGCCTTGGAGCTGCCCACAGCAGCCCTGGGCATCATCTACTGTGTTTCCTGCCGGCACAAAAGGACCTGCCCATGTAAACAACCAGTGAGGGAGCAACAAACCCCCTGGGGAGGTGATGGTACTGTGCTTGGAAACAACCATCTGTTCCCCAGTTGTTCCAGCAAACAGGGAAACACATCTCTGGGCAAGCAGGAGGGGCCTAGGGGGAATTTGGGAGCTGTTGGCCACTTCTCTCAGAGCCATGGTTGCATGTGCCACCCAAGCAGGGACATGAAGAGTGGAGGCTGTGCTGGGGCTTTGCAGAGTGTTATGGGGGGTGACTGTGCTGAAAGCACCAGGCTTGTGGGGCCCACCTTGCTGCAGGCTCTGGCTGAGGACTGTGGGGAGAAGGACACATAAGGATGTGGAGCTGCTGGAGCCAGTCCAGAGGAGGCCATGGAGATGCTCCACGGGCTGGAGCCCCTCTACTCTGGAGCCAGGCTGGGAGAGCTGGGGGTGTTCACCTGAAGAGGAGAAGACTCCAGGGACACCTCAGAGCCCCTTCCAGGACCTAAAGGGCCTCCAGGAGAGCTGGAGGGGGACTGGGGACAAGGGATGGAGGGACAGGACACAGGGAATGGCTTCCCACTGCCAGAGGGCAGGGATGGATGGGATATTGGGCAGGAATTGTTCCCTGGCAGGGTGGGCAGGCCCTGGCACAGGGTGCCCAGAGCAGCTGTGGCTGCCCCTGGATCCCTGGCAGTGCCCAAGGCCAGGCTGGACACTGGGGCTTGGAGCAGCCTGGGACAGTGGGAGGTGTCCCTGCCCATGGAATGAGATGGTCTTTATTGTCCCTGCCAATCCAGACCATGTCACAATTCTGTGATTTGGAGCTGCTGCTGTGTTGAGGACTTGGAGTGGGATGCTGGGGGCTCTGTTTTGGTCCCAACTGGTGCAGGCAGCACCAGGGCTAAGCTGGCTCAGCTCCCCACACAGGATAGGCACTGACTGCCTTGCATGGACTTTGGTCCTGGCTGGTGCCCAGTGCCAAGGAACAGGAAACTGTGGGCATGGAGCTGGCCCCAGGGGCCTCAGGATTTGGCCATGTGTGGAGATAGGACCAGACCTGCCCTTCTGCCTAGGATGAGCAGATGGAAAGGCTGAGACACTCGTCAGGGTGCACATCCCTGCTTTCCATGGCCCCATGGGGCAGTGGGGGGCTGGACTGGGGGCTGGGAAGCCTCCCCTGTGTCCTCAGCGCTTCCCATGTGGACAGAGCCACCCGCTCCCCACCTTGGCTCCAATGTTTGCTTTTCCAGCTCCCAGCAGGATCTGGCTTTGAGGCAGTGCCAGGCTTGTTTGGAGCTGTTTGCAAGCCACAGAGGCTCTGCTGGGCCTCTGGCAGCTCCCCCGTGCTGCTGGTGCAGCCCTGACTGCTGTTCCAGCTGGCATCTCTGCATCTCAGGGGCACTTCTCCTTGTTTGGGAGGCAGCAGGGGATCAGCCTGTGGCCGTGGTGCTGGCCTGGCTCCCACCTTGCCCCAGGAGTCTCTTTGTTTCCCAGTGCTCCGTGATTTTCCCGTGACAGCTTTGTCTCTCCCGCAGATCCGGCTGCGGTGCCAGAAGGGGATCCCTCCCTCGCTGCGGGGCCGTGCCTGGCAGTACCTCTCTGGGAGCAAGGTCAAACTGGAGCAGAACATGGGCAAGTTTGATGTGAGTCCTGCCAGGGACCATCCTGCACCACCAGGGAGATGGCGGTGCTGGGGCTGCTCCTGCTTGGGCTTGGGTGTGTGTTGGGATCTCAGACGTCTTGCGCGGGAGTCAAGGGTGTTGCTTACCCCAGTCTTCCCCTCCCCAGGAACTGGACCTCCTCACAGGAGATCCCAAGTGGCTGGATGTGATCGAGCGGGATCTCCATCGGCAGTTCCCCTTCCATGAGATGTTTGTCTCACGTGGAGGCCATGGGTATGTGGAGCTACTACTGTGTGTCCAGCCCTCAGCAGCCATGGATGGGGTGGGCACTGTCTGTCCCAGCTCATGGAGCCACACTTCTGTCCCCAGTGTCCTCCCCATTCCTCCAGCATTCCCTATACTCCCACAGTCATAGGACATCCAGTGACTGAAAACAGGATGGCTCAGACCAGCTCTGACACCCAGTGGGTGGGAACTGCCATGACAGGAGGGCAGAGGGAGGAGGTGGCAGCCCGCGGCCTCCGTTTCACCAGGAAAATGCTGCTCCCAATGTGTTGGGGAGCATCTGTGCCCCTGTGCCTGCAGCTGGGTCCCCTGCTGTGGGTCCCCTGGGTCTGTGGCTTGCTTTGGGCCACGTGGTTGTCTCCATACCTCAAATCGCAGATCCAGGCAGGATCTGTGGGCAGCACTTGCCAGGGTTTGTGTGGAAAGGGGATCCCAGGGGGGGACTGACCCAGGCTGGTGCGTGGGATGCATGGGGGAGGCTGTGTGCCGTGTGTGCATGCCGGTGTGTCCGCAGGCAGCAGGACCTGTTCCGGGTGCTGAAGGCGTACACGCTGTACCGCCCGGAGGAGGGGTACTGCCAGGCCCAGGCGCCCATCGCCGCCGTCCTGCTCATGCACATGCCGGCCGAGGTACGGGCACGCGGCTCAGGGGACAGAGCTGGGACCTCCTGGAGGGTGTGGGGCCCTTTGGGGGGTGCTGATGAGTGGGTGCCTGGCTCAGGGCAACTCAAAGTGCCCCAGGGATGCTTTGCTGCTTCCCACCCTCTCCCGTGGTCCCTGGGAGAAGGGAGGGGGCCACAGGGAGGTCCTCTGGGATCTCACTCTCTGTCCTTTGGCTTGCAGCAAGCATTCTGGTGCCTGGTGCAGATCTGTGAGAAGTACCTCCCTGGCTACTACAGCGAGAAACTGGTGAGTAAAGGGTTCATGGTGCTTTCAGCAGTGGCAGGGACCTGCAAGGTGCTGCACCTGGATTGGGGTGCAAGGATCAATCTGGGCAGGGGATGAAGGGATCAAGAGCAGCCCTGGGGAGAAGGACTCGGGGATGCTGGTTGGTGAGGAATGGCCATGCCCTGGCTGTGTGTCCTGCCTGGGCAGCAGGGGAGGGGGGATTCTGCCCCTGCGCCCTGCCCAGGTGAGACCCCACCTGCAGAGCTGCTCCAGCCCTGGGGTTCCCAACATCAGAAGGATGTGGAGCTGCTGGAGCCAGTCCAGAGGAAACCATGAAGCTGCTCCAAGGGCTGTAGCCTGCCTGCTCTGGAGCCAGGCTGGGAGAGCCGGGGGTGCTCACCTGGAGAACAGAAGGCTTCAGAGAGACCTCAGAGCCCCTTCCAGGACCTAAACGGGCTCCAGGAGAGCTGAAGAGGGACTTGGGACAAGGGCCTGGAGTGTCAGAACAAGGGGTAATGGCTTCCCACTGCCAGAGGGCATGGCTAGATGGGACATTGGGAAGGAATTGTTCCCTGGGAGGGAGGGGAGGCCCTGGCACAGGTGCCCAGAGCAGTTGTGGCCACCCTATCCCTGGAAGTGTTCCAGGCCAAATTAGACAGGGCTTGGAGCGACCTGGGATAGTGGAAGGTGCCATATGGCAATGGAGTGGAATGAGGTGAGTTTTAAGGTCCACTCCAACCCAAACCATTCCATGATTCTGTATCTCCAGGCCAAAAACTTGTCCAGCTCCTCACCATGGGTAAAGAAGGGGTCTGGGGAGGTACTGGGTATTCCCACAGTCTCCCTGTTGTGCTATGGTTCCCAGAAGCATTCCACATTCAGGGATGGGGTCTCAGTGGAGTATCCATGGGACACAGCTCTGCTCTCCTATCAGGTGTAGAGGGTTGGCTGCCCCTGCCGGGGCCAGGCACTGGTGGCTGATCTCAGGGCTGGAGTATTCACTGGGATCCTGGTCCCTGTCCCTGCAGGAAGCCATCCAGCTGGATGGACAGATCCTCTTCTCACTGCTGCACAAGGTCTCACCTGTGGCCTACAAGCACCTGAGCAAGCAGAAGATTGACCCCATCCTGTACATGACAGAGTGGTTCATGTGCGCCTTCTCCCGCACGCTGCCCTGGAGCTCCGTGCTGCGCGTCTGGGACATGTTCTTCTGTGAAGGTAGGAGCTCCCCAGCATCCTCCCCACGGCCATGGGACCTGCAGCAGGGCAGGTTTGGGGCAGCCACATGCCTGGGGTGTGCACATGGGCTGTTTTCCTGGGGGTTAGGAGGCATGTACATCCCAAATTCACCCTCCTGTTAGTGGGACTGGGATCTGCTGCCCCACTGCATTTGAGGGACATGGTGGCAGTGTCACCCTGTCCTGCCTGGCACTCACTGCCTCACGTCTCCTCTTGCAGGAGTGAAGATCATCTTCCGGGTGGGCCTGGTGCTGCTCAAACACACCCTGGGCTCCTCGGACAAGCTCAAATCCTGCCAGGGCCAGTATGAGACCATGGAGAGGCTGAGGGCCCTCAGCCCCAAAATCATGCAGGAGGCCTTCCTGGTGCAGGAGGTGAGGTGCTGGGGGCCCAGTGCTGCCACACTGGGCTGTCTCTGGGTGGGCGGAGCAGCCCCCAAAAGGCTTGGTTAGCGTTACCTCTGCCGTGAGAGGGATGTCACTGTCGCTGATGGCACAAGTGTCCCCACAGGTCATCGAGCTGCCGGTGACGGAGCGTCAGATCGAGCGGGAGCACCTGATCCAGTTGAAGAAGTGGCGGGAGACGCACGGGGAGCTGCAGTGCAAGTCCCCCCCGCGCCTGCACGGCGCCAAGGCCATCAGCGAGGCGGAGCCCGCCCCTCGCAAAGCGCTGGAGCCCGTCCCCCCCATCATCGTCTCCCCCGGGCCCGCCCCCGTGCCCAAGGCCCGCAAGAGCAAGGAGAAGAGCCGGGAAAAGGGCCCGGCCAGTCCTGCCAACGGCCCCGGGGCCGAGGGCAACGGGGCGCCCGGCACGACCCGGGAGCTGCTGCACCCCCAGGTCTCCCCCCACCACCAGTCCAAGGAGAGCCTGAGCTCCCGGGAGAGCGAGGACACGTACTT